AACGGGACGACGAGGCCTACTAGATGGCTGGGGCCGTGAGTACAAACAAAAAACTACTAGTAGAGCGAGGTCTGCACAGAATGTACCTGATACACGCTCTTTTTCAATATTAAAAATGCAAAAACATTGATTTTATATATCAGTCTAATTTTTTATTTCAATCCGCTTTTCTAGTGAGACCGCTGCTGGCGAGAGTACGCCTTTGGCAGCCGTAAGGGAGCTGCGGGAACTCAAGTTCGCGAAAAGGACCTTAACGCTAAATGCCATTTGAGTTGCCGTGTGGCACTGCTTAAATGTCATTTAAGCTAAAGATCCTTTGGCGTAAAGGCCCTTTTAGGTGTCCGCCACAGGGGCATTACAGTGCGTCGCTACAGGGTGCTGAGAGTAGGGCTCATTCTTGGAGCATTCCCTCTCGTGTTCACGCAACCTGTCGTTCAGCCAACTGCCCGTTTGGCCGATGTACTCCCCACCGCATGTTAGTGGCACGGAATATACGCGTCCCGTCACACAAGCGACAAAGCCTCTCGAGTGGCTCTTTGAGCACCGCTCCCTTGGGTTCGGGGTATCATTAAACCGGCTGCACAGGGCGCCCAAGTGGAACCTGCTCGAAAAACACCATCGACGTCGTGCCGTCGTGCGGTGGCTCTCAGACTGTGAGAGGTGTTATGGTGGTAGGGCGTGACTGCGAACCTTTTTGGCAGGGGCGGCTTTGCGCGGTCGGTCGGGGGCTGAGATATTAGAGATATTAGAGATTAGAGAGTGGTGCTACTCAGGTCGTGTGGGTAGCCTGCTTTTTGAAGCCCAATAAGCTGAGAGTTTAGACTGGAGTGAGAAAGGTGGGAGTAAGATTTCGTGCAGGAAGATGAAACGAGGCTCGTTACAATACCAGATTTTACAGTTTTTGAACTATGACTGGGCGAATGGCAGCACCGGCTTCTGGGTGCGTTTCTGGAAGGTCCAGCAGACTCCAGAAGGGGTGGAGGTAAGTCGCAGGTCAAGTAACTGCAGACTCTCAGTGCACGGGTCCTCTCTCGTAAAAACGAGTCTTCGCGAATTTCGCGAGAACACCTACTCTATGGAAGCGAGGGACACACACGGATCGTGAATTACCAAATAGTCATTGACGTAACGGAAGATGTGGATTCCGGGAGCCATAACACCAAGCTCTCTCTGAACAGCGCAATCCACCGCCGCCATGTAGACCACGCTGAGGACTGGGACGAGGCAGGAGCCATTGCAGACCCCGGTCCTCCGCCTGTATACCTTGCCGTGATATTCAACCAGGGTTGACTACAGATACAGTCAGATGAAATGGATGTATAAGTCGATGAAGACACTAGAAGAATTTTGGAATTAACCCAGTCCCGATTTGGTCGCAGCCTGCTCAACACAGTCCATGAGTAAGTCAACATCGAGGCTATAGTACATGTTTTTGACGTCCAACGAAAAGAGCGCGACGTTAGAGCCCGACGAGTGCAGGTGACGGAACCACTCACTCGTCAGCGGAACCACTCACTCGGAAGGTCTGTTCCAGGGGGACGGCCGAGAGGTGTTTTTGGAGGTAGAGCGCCAAAGGCTTCTGCAGCAGCCGTTCTCAGAAACAATGATCCTTAAGGGAACACCTGGCTTGTGTGTTTTGGCCGTGAAGAACACGTGCAGGTATTGAGCAGAGGGAGCTGTCAACATTGTTAGAAGGGAGCCAAGCTGGTTGGCCTTGCAGAGTTTTTTGGCCTCGAAGCGAAGCGTTCCAGATGGTCTGTTTTTCAATGCCGTGAAGTTTTTTGTGAGAACCGCGTCAGGAGTACCTCCAGCCGAGCAGGGTTAGGTACTTTTGGCGCAACCTGGTGCATCGCCGCCAGGTGTTCAACTCTAGACGGAGCACAAGCAGGGGCAAACTTCGGCCCGTTTCACCGCTTCAGCGTGTGGGGAAAGGGGGGTGTCGGATAGGTTAACAGGTGGATCCAGCTTGCAGGTCTGGTTACTTCGCTTCTCACCTGCCGAATTCGCAATGACACGCCTTCAGAAGGACTCCAGAAGTAGGTGAGCCGATCTGCCAAGAAAGGTATACGACAGCTGCGGGGCATAGTTGACCCCGAAGATGGTGATCTTGAAACCGTGGAGAGACTTCTCCAACATCAGGATCTCTTGGGAAATCTCGTGGCGGGCGAGTTGCATGAACCGATAGCTGGCTGACCAGCGGGTGGAGACGAACACACACACCTGGTGCACTATAGGATGGGTGATGTTTTTGCGCAAGTAGAGGCCGAGGATCCTCCGGCGAAGGCGTAGAAGGAATAGCTTGGACGTGAATATCGATGCTTGAAGGAAAGTAGATGGGTCAAACACCGGGGAACCAGTGCCTCTTATTGGTGAACGTGATATAATAGCCTGGACATGAATATCGGAGCTTGAAGGAAAGTAGATGGGTAACCAGTGCCTCTCATTTGTGGACGTAACATAATTGCTTGGACATGAATATCGTAGCTTGAAGCAAAGTAGATGTATTGTCCGTCTTTTTGTTTATTATTTCTGATAATTTAATCAAGAAAGAAAAGCTCCCCAGAGAGTGTCTACAGACCGCGCGGCTTTTGTAGAATATATTGGCAGTGTGAACTTCAGAAAGACGTGGCAGCTCGGAGCATTCACTTCGATACGTACATCTTACAGTGAAACGTGGTATAGAAAGATGTTGCGAGCGAATTCCACGGGTATGTTGTCCGCACGCAGGGATGGGCGAAATACATGCAAATATGTATCTAAATACAAATACAAAATACTTCGTTAAAATGTATTTAATTACAAATCTAATAACATTTCCAAAAAAACATTTAAGTACAAGATACAAATACAATTAAATGTATTTTGTCTCCTCCAAATACTTTTCCAAATACATTCCTCAAAATGTGCGTCAGCGGCTTCAGGGCACCTGCAACGGGTTTCTGGATATCTTATTTTAATTTTGCATCGCAAACTCGGGAGTTAGTGTGCGAGGCTCTAGTAACGTAATAGAAATATAACCACAAAAAATGTAATCAGCTTGGACGTAATAGGTGAAAAAAGTACACAGCTTCAAGCAGCTTTTTTTTTTTTTTTTTGTCGATTACATTTTGGTATAGACCAACAAAAAACCGAGACGACCAAGACGCGCAGTACTAGCTAGAGAATTTTTTATTGTCGCAACTCGCACCAGTTACGAAAAACTGGACGACCCGCGCATTTAGAATGTTCCAGGCAAAAATATGGATGAAAGTCAGGCTGGAAAGCATTCCAAGTTGTCACAGGCACTTATTTAGCCAGGCTGCCTGTGAACATCGATGTCGTCACTATTCTTGCCCTGGGCTAGCACCGTAATCACAGTCACTAAACACTTGTGCTTGATTGAGAGACACTGCATTCGGCGCAGAACGTAGTTTTCTTCCAGCTCTGGAGGGTGACAATAAATTTGAGGGATGTATTTTCGGCCACAAAATTGTTTTTAATTACAATTGTATTTGAAATACCCACGTTTTAGTATTTAAACACACACGTCAAATACATTATCCAATTTGTAATTAAATACAAATGCAAAATACACAAAGTATTTGAAATAGGTATTTCAAATACAAGTATTTGAAATACTGCCCATCCCTGTCCGCACGGTATGTTCCTCCGAAAAATGCGTCTGTTTTAGTGAAGGTTACATATTTCGTGCGTTAGAAACATGTATTTCAGAACCAGTAACCAGAGTCTTTAGGACGTGAAATGCAGCATAAATGAGTACAGTTCGAAACGTCCCTTACACAAATGGGCGTTATGCGGACTTTGCTCGGTGTGCCACGGAACGGCACACACTTCTAGAATTAATAAATTAAGCATCTGTTTACGCTGTGCTTTCTTCTACACTCACTGGATACTGCGGAATGTAGTGCCAAGCTCCCGTTTAATCGCCAATTTTATTCGAGGAATGAGCGATTCTTTTCGTCCTCTTCATTCTCATCTTCACCTTCACTCGCTGATACTTTCCCAACGGCGACCCACTCTCTGGCAAGCGCTCGACTCTGCGTCTCCGCCTACTCCTACGCCCTGCGACGTTCTGGTTATCTTCATTTGCCCCATTTGGTAGTTTTTTTTTTTTATTTTGGAAAGAAGTTTGCCCATTTAAACGTTTACTTCAGTTCATTACTCATCGTCTCATCGCCTTCACCCGTGACAATAGATTACCTAAACAGTAATTAAAATTATATCAATAAATCTTGTATACAGTTTTTTGTTTTCGGTTTCTGACGAAATAAGGTTCTGCCCTTGAAAATCCATTAGTGTAATCAGCAACAAGACGTTTGGTGCTATTTATTCCCATAAAAGTGAAAGCCTGACAATTCAGTGGCAGTTGCGATCGTGTTCATAAGCCAGTGCAGCTCCGATTGAATGTCCTCAACCCTATCATAAAACATCAACAACTTCACAATATTGGTGAAGGAAAAAACTAAAGTTTTCTTTTCATTTACGTCTAAAAACGATCTTCAGCAAACGTTCTTATAATTTTTAGAACTTTAAGTGATACGTTTTTCTTCAATCTTTAGAAACGTCATTTCTTTCGTCGCCGACGTGTCCTTTCTAGGCAAGTATTCCGTAAAACAAAAGGGTGCAGTGAACTAGAACAATAGAGCTTGTGTTACGCTCTCTTTTGTTAATTTGTATGCGCGGCTTGACTCAGCAAACAATAGGCAACGATGTGGAACGACTAAAGGCATACGGAAACTGCATGCTCTGGTGGTTCTAACTGAAGCGTGTCAATGCACACAATATATTCAAGTTGCGTAGTGAGGTGGCTGACACCTCACGGCAACCGCTTATTAAATGCAACCACTAGGACGCCCTTTGTAGAAAAGGATCCGCTTGTATCTCTTTGTGGCAAACCTCTCCCGGATCGTTTTAGCAGTTGCCTTGGCGAGGTCCTATTAATAACGACCACGGAGTGTGGAACAACGTATTTGTTTGCTCCGAGTCTGCGAATCGTGAAGATGAACAAGTTTCGCCTGGCCTTGCTCCAGCTGGCAGTGACAGCCAACAAGGCGGAAAACCTCAAGAGAGCAAGTAGGCTAATCAGAGATGCGTCTTCTGCGGGAGCCAAGATACTCTGCCTCCCAGAATGCTTCAATTTCCCGTACGAACCGAAATACTTCTCGAAGCACGCGGAGTCGATACCCGGCATATCCAGCGAGATGTTGTCAAGATGCGCCGAAGAAAACAAAGTCTATCTCGTCGGAGGCACCCTGTCAGAGAGGGAGAACGGGAAAATCTACAACACCTCCTTGGTGTACGGACCGGACGGTTCGATTCTGGCCAAGCACCGGAAAGTACACCTCTATGACATCGACGTCCCAGGCAAAATCACCTTTCGGGAGTCGGACTTTGTGACGCCGGGCGACGCACTGACCACCTTTGACACTCCGTTCTGCAAAGTGGGCGTCGGCGTATGTTTCGATATTGCGTTTGCGCCCATGACTCATATATACGCGCAGCTTGGTTGCAAGTTAGTGGTGTATCCTGCGGCTTTCAACACGACAACCGGTCCGTTGTATTGGAAGCTGGTTCCGAGGTGTAGGGCGTTGGAAAACCAGGTTTACGTGGCAATGGTGTCGCCCGCAAGGGATGAAACGGCGTCGTACGTCACCTGGGGATATAGCATGTTGGTGGATCCGACCGCCAATGTCATACAGTCTGCCGGAGTTGGCGAAGAAATTGTGCTTGCTGAAGTGGACTTCAACTATCTGGATCGGGTGAGGAACCAAATGCCCGTGAACAACAAAAAAAGGAATGATTTGTACAAGGTGGTAAGCTGTAAAGATTGAAGAACTGACGTTTCAGTTTCCTCAGGACTGTTACCTGTGACGACTACAAGGCGGAAAAGATTGGCCTATGCATTCTAGAGAAGATCATTCTGCTTCTTTGGGATTGGGCCATTTACTTTGAGCTTGAGGGCGTTTTCTATCCAAGTGTGCGTTTTATGGGATATTTCTTATTCTTGAGTTGCTTGTGGTTGGTTTCTCAAATATGCAGAACAGTGAAATTTAGGCAGCTCTATGTTGTTTGTGAAAGCACATGACAGAGAGCTACGAAGAGAATATATATAAAAATGTAAAAGTTTGATATAGTTTTTTGGATGTTTTCTTCAACTGATATATTGTTTCATAAGATTTTATTAATATTCATAATATTGATCGGTAGACTTTTTCTTTTTCTGCTATATGTATGTACTATTATAAAGGGAGATACTTTTTTTTCGTGGCTTCTCTCAGTGCCTAAAGCTGTATAGTCTTCGTAACAAGGAAGAATTATCGTTGATCATTGAATTGCTTTTTCTTTAGTTAATCTAATTTTACAGTTCGATACAGGCTGCTTGACGAAGGAGAAAACTACCGGCTTCATACGAAGCACATTTATTTTACTGACTTCATTACCTTGAGCTACTCTCCTTCCTAGGATTCCTCTTCGTTATCTAGATCCAGACAATGACTCCGTGACCGCAAATTTTCAGTGTTCAACACACGCAGCAATGATGTCTCTGGAAATGACAACGCGTGATTCAATTAGATGAATGTTTCACATGTTAATAATAGTGATAAAACTACCCTTGTGCCTTCTTCGGATACAATGGCAGTTTCAGCAAGCGAAGGATCAATCGTGCGAAGTCGTGCAAGGAATATGACTTCGACCGTTTTCCTGCCGGTTATGATGATTTCAAATAGTCCTTTCGGACACGCTCCGGGATGATCTCCTCTGGAAGACTCGTCTGCCAATGAGCGATCGAAATCAATTATCATTTCCGTCCGTCATCTGGGAGCTGCGTCGCCTCCATATCTGCCCTGGATCCCGAGCAATCATGCTCTTCCAAGATCAGCAGTTTCGGCAGATCCTAGCTCTTAGCATACTTTCTGCCTCACTAAGCATGACGGGACGTACACTGCAGAAATGATACATGTTTAATAATTGATTTAGGATTTATTAATACGGTGCATGCAGCCGTCTTTCGTTTGGACGGTCGTGGTTTGGATTGGTTCGGTCTAGACTGGACTGGTTCCATAAGGCCGCGGCGCGGTTCCCGCCTTGTTCTTTCGCTCTGGTTGTTTTCAACTGACGCCTTCTTTTTCCTTACTAGAGGGGGGGGCGGGGGGTCTTCTGGCCAGCTTCCATTGATGCACCGCTGGAGGGAGAGAGGGGGGGATCAGAGGCCGTGGCGATGACCAAGGTACGGGACAACGAAAAACCGAGTCGAAGCGACCACGCCGTTTGCGCGAAACCGCTAACACCCGGGAGGAAGGATTGGGTCTTTGAAGACAACCGTGTGCGGACCTTAGGCGGCGATCGAGGGAAGCTGTGGTGGTTGCTTCCGAAACCGCCGACGACCGGAAAAACAGGCTGAATCTTCGAACCCAACAGTTTGTAAAGTGTTGCGATGTTGGAATTCCCTTCCTCCTGCCCTAAATTGTATTGCATTTTGTCGAGAATCGGCGTAGTGAGAGCAGAGATATTGGCATCATTTTTTGTTTTTGTTTATATGACTTTGTACGCGGTGAGGCATCTCTTTTAAGTACAAAGTGCATCTGCATAGTGCAGTTCAAGGACCACCATGGGACGGGATCCGTTAGTGGCATCGATAAAAGAAAATCAACCAGAAGTGTTTTTTTTTTTTTTCAGCTCCTCATTGTATAAGGTTGCTCTTCGCTCACTTGTCTCCAATAGGAAAGGCAAGTCGCTGATGTATTCGTGGTTTTTGCCGTTTTCGCCACCTTACCGAGGGGTTCTATGCTTCTCCAGCGCCTACCTTCTAATAGGAGTCAACAGCGACCATGTGAACCCACAAATATTTCGTGCCGCGTAATGCAGGGGCTACCTGGGATTATTTAAGAATTGCAATCTATCAGGGGGTAATGTTTTTACTCGTGTCAGGTGAGCCACGCTTCGAGCGACGAACTAAAACACTGAGCTGGATTACCGTTTGTGTGGATCTCCTGGTGAAGCGGCAGTGGTCAAGCGGCAATGCTCCGGCAGACTGTCGTCACGCTGTCATATGTTTTGAAATAAACACGAAATAATAAAACATGTAGAGACGAAGACAGAGAGTACGCTTGATAGAACTATACTGTCTGTCTTCGTCACTTCAAGTGTTATTCTTCCGTGTTTTTCTCTTTTCTTTTTTTTTTTTTTTAGAGCGCAGCGCTTAGGCGCTCGTTTCCGGCTTGAGCGGCGTCGGTGTCGCCGTCGGCGTAACCGCGCGGTGTATTATGGGTGAATTTCCCCGCTAAATTTAACGGAAAAATTTACCCGCTAAGTTTACCGGCAAAAGTTTCCTGTTAAATTTAGCGGGAAAATTTCCCCGCTAAATTTAGTGGAAAAATTTCCGCAATAAATTTAGCGCAAAAAATTCCTTTCTAAATTTAGCAGGAAACACTCTCCATCAAATTTAGCGGAAAATTTTCCACAAAATGGGAGGCGAGCAGGTAAGGAAGAGTGGCATAGCCTCCTCTCCGTGCCGAATTCTCCTCCTCCTCCTCCTCCTCAAGAGCTGCGCTCTGATTCGGCGTTACAGGGGATCATAAACGTCTTTCATTTTTTTTTTTCAGATCAGCTTTTCAATGTTGTTTTAAGTTTCGTTTTGTCAAAACGTAGTTCGTAACGTTTATTTTTTTTTCTGTGGACTTAACTCAGTTTAGTAAATATATCCAAGACATTTTAAGTACCATCCGGAATTTTGTAATTCGACAAGGCTTAAGGGATTCGCGAGTGGTAAAATAGTTGCGTGACTCGCAAAATGTAAAGGCCCGTGATCAATTTCCACTTCACGTTTCTGGCAAGTCACAGTCAAGCATTGGTTCTGAGAACGCGCAAAACACGTTTCACAAGCGTCTGCTCTGCCACCATCTGCTTCATATGTATAGACCTTTTCTTTAACGGCGCCGCCATCTTGAGAATTCCGGCGCCGACGACGCCTTCTAGCGGCGTAGAAAAAAAAAATATCGGCTAGTTCTGGCAGCACAGCTATCTCGGTAGGCAACGGTGTGGGTATGGGGGGAACTTGGCTAGACTTGGCTAGGGTGGGCTGCAATAACTTGGTTGGAGCTTGTCCGGTTGAATCCAGCTGGCTACTCCCAGGCCATCACGTCGTCTCCTCGAGAGAACGAGGACGAAGACGGTGGTGTGTTTTGATTGAGTTTCCACAGCGAAGTATATATGAGCAGTTTAGTGTAGTCTATGCAAGTAAGCTCTCGACAGTTGATAGCTCCTTCTTGAGTGGTGGCATGTAAACTTTTTTTATACCTTTCACATACCATGGAGCTTGCAGTGATAACCTAATTGGACCACCTGCACCGGGAATTAAAATCGGTCGTCTTGTCGTAGACGAAGTGGTCGTGAGCTTAAACGTGACGTTGATTCTGATACGAATCTCTCGCGATTCAAGCTCGCAATCGACTGACTTCATAAATAAGGATTCTTGGGGAAAATGCGAAGCTCGATAACATTGCAGCCACACTCGCGCGGCAGCTCCTTGTGCTCATGGCACACTTGCTGCTATTGTTTTTATGCGTTTTTAAAATTATTTATCCATCGACCACGCAGTGGTAGCCGGACAACCGTAGATTTTCGGAAATTGCAGCACGGTAAAAAGGAGCACTCGGAACTCACTCATGCACGACGTCCGTTTTTAAGCCTTTTCGCCCATACCCTTGGCGGTTGCATACCCTGTGTCAGCGGGTAATCCAAAAATGCATCAGGTCGAGGGTACGTCAGTTACTGACTGGTTTGAGGTTATGCGAAAAAGGTCTATACTTTTTCCACAACGGGGTAGCCATATTGATTCTAGTCACTTCTAGAACGCGGTGAAACATATTTTTGATTCCTCCACGCCATTGGAAGATGTTCACGAAAAACACGTGAATATCACATTATTGTTTTGCATCACCTATACTTTCTCGTGCAGTCCAGGTTGAAATGTTTATTATTATTCGTCCCGAATACCAGATACTTAACTCAAGCGACGGAGGACGAAAGAAAACAAAATACTTTTATAGACCTTTTAGGGGCGAAGCTCCTTAGGGGCTAGCCATGTCCGTATGTTCGTCCGCCGTCCGGAGTACCCCTGCTCGTGAGTTCAGCAGTGAGAGCAAGAAAAAAAGAAAAAAAAGATGAAAAAAAAAATAAAAAAGAAAAAGAAAAACAAATAGGGGGCTCTGAGATGCCATTCCATCTGTCTGCTTAAAAAAACAAAAAGAAGAAAACCACACATTCTATACTGACATGAATGAAAACGGCACCATCAGCACTACCCATGACCAAAATCAGTATCAAGAAAAAGAAGAAAAAAAAAGAGTAGGGGGTTCTGAGTTGCCATCCCATCTGTCTTCTTAAAAAAAAAAGAAAAATAAGAAAATCACACATCCTCCTACTGACACAGGAGGAAGACGACGCTTCAAGAAGTAATTACCGTTCTTTTTTCTGCCCTCGCGTTTTTGACTATTTCAAGCTTTGAATACATTTGGATACGCTCGGACATAAGGAGAAGAGAATTGAAAGCACCAACCGCGGCCAGGGACAACCGGTTGCAGCTCCTCACGGCAGGGTCCCTTGGGAGAACCCGAAATACGACATGACCTCTCTACCCGGTACTTCTGCACTGGCATCAGCGACCGGATCTTCATGTTATTCACAGACATCTCCAAACGAAGACCACACGTACGTCACTCAAGACACGTACGTCACTCAAGAAACCCCACCCGCGCGCTCTACTCTCGGAAAACGTCACGGCGGTGGAGGCGACAATTCAACTTTAACGCCTGCCAAACAACTGGCAGCG